TTACAAAGACTAATCATTATTATTATTCAGAGTGTCATTTCCTGCTTATTAGTCTGGTTTTTAGTTCCTTTTATTTTCAGGGGATTCCAACAGTGTACAGAAATAAATTAGACTGAAAGAGCAGCTTGCAGCTAGATTGACTGATAATTGCCAGATGATAGGTAGTAAATAAATGTAAAAAGTAGATATGGATATTACTGCTTTTGGATAATAGAGGCAAGTAACAGACTTTTTTTCATGGTATATAAAAATATGATTTGAGTTGTTGATATGATGGCTTACACATATTATTCCTCATATAATATGTGTCTGTATTACAGTGATGGCTATAGTAAGTAATTTTAGAATTTATAAACCTTCTTATAAAAAGGAATACTTTTTCCTTGTTTTTTTTCAAGCTTATTGAGTGCTTTGTTTTTAGTTCTTAAAATGAAGATAATTACCCCTACATATTTTAACACTGACTTTTTTGTGTAACAGAATAGGTAACAAAATGAGAGATGTTGTGATTTTATTGCAGTCATCTTTGTTCTCCTTGCTGTATGCCAAAGCCTCTGTCTCTTCACCCTTCTTCCTTATTCCCCTGCAGGAGGCTCCTCTAAAAATAGCTCCAGTAATAGATGTTCTACACAGGGTCAAATTGCTGAGTCATTTAGTTCTTTGGGAAGTTTAGGAATATGGAAAACAGTGTCTGAACTGGGTAGGACAAACTTGCTTCTAAATTGGCAGGTCATTATTCTTTTGAAAAATAAAGAATATTCTTCTCAATAACCATATAGTAAATAATTTTTAAAGTCTATTTTTAATTTTAAAAATTCTGTAAAATGGTTTTATGTCTGAACTTCAAAACATATTTTGAATGTGATTCCCAGAAGTGTGTTTTGTTAAATACAATAAATTTGATATTAAGAGGTTAACAGATGAACTGTAAGTATTCCCCTATATGTAAATATTTCATCTTCTTTTTCTTATCTTAGGTATGTTATTGCCTCTTTGGAATAGTTTCACTGCCTGTGAAATAGTTACCTCCAGAAAAGAATTTCTGGGAGGATTTGACACTTGACAGTGAAATAAATGTGCTGACTTTTTCTCAATGTTATAAGGATTTAGCTTTCTTAAATTATCCATAACCCCTTATTTTTGCTTTCCTCATTATTCCAAAATACTTATATGTAGATTGTTGAGTGCTGGCTTCTTCAGTGTAACACCACAACAACCTGCTGATAAAGAAAAGTTGAGATTATTACTTCCTGACAGGAAGAGCACATTTTCTTGACACAGTCTTAGTCATATTTTAAGGACCAAGTCACAATATTTATTTCTGAGATTTCTTGGGGGTCTTGTTTAAGGTGGGTCTTTCAGTGCACTGGCTTCAGATTGATGAATTTATGACATAATAGGTTACCCCCTGGTGGCTCAGATGGTAAAGAATCTGCATGCAGTGCAGGAGACCCAGGTTCATCCCCTAGGTTGGGAAGATCTCCTGGGGAAGGAAATGGCAACCCACTCTAGTATTCCTGCCTAGAAAATTCTGTGGACAGAGAAGCCTTTTGGGCTATAGTCCATAGGGTTGCAAAGACTCAGACACAACTGAGCAACTAACAGATTTCAGATTTTCAGGTTAGGACTGTCTGGCAGAACAAGATGAGCTTTTCAAAGTGAATGTTGGACCATGGTACTAAACTTTTGTTTTCGCTGGCATTAATAACTGTCTCACTTCTCCTATTAACTGAAGGTCCAAACTCCCCAACAGAACTCTAAAATTCTTCTCTATATGGGCAAAGATCTCAAGTAATCTATCTGTTTCATTTTCTTTCTTGGAAGATACTCCTTCTAGCCCTTTGTCCTCTGTCTCTAATGTAGATTGGTTGCCCTTAGGCCTGCTGTGGAGATGACATCCTTGAGTTTCTCTTGCCTTTCTCCAATAGTGAGTTGACTTCCTGAATCTTATGTATCTACATCTTTGGTTCATTCTCATATTAGAGCAGCCATCTTCTGGTAACTTTCAGCAGTCTTTTTTTTCCCTTCTGTAAATAATTCATGCATAGATAATTGATATGATAAATAGGATGTTTTCTTTTTGTCTGTTGTAATGCTAGAAATTCATTACAGAGTATATCTTAGAATTGCTAGAAAAATTAAAGTTATAATTTTCTTATAGGAATGAAGTTTGGAACAACAACAATGATTGTGGGTAACTATTTTGCTTTTTTAAAATTCTGGAAAGGCTATCTCCTAAAATGATTTTGGGATATATGTTGTTGAATTCTGATTTTTAATTTTTCAACTTGTGAATACTTTTTATACCTCTATCAGATGAGAGTTAATACTTTTGAAAATTTGATAAAAACTTCTGGTAAAATTTTGCTTCTTAAATGAAAATAAATATAAAACATTATAATCAAATAAACTTAAAAAACCCCTTTCTCACAATTTATTGCCTGATGTAATTTGAGTTTATATTTTAATAGTAAAAAAACTGTCTTGAAATGTGTGTCTATATGTCTGTAGTCTTTGATGGTGGTAGGCTGGGGCCCCAAAAGAAGACTGTTTCTTTAAAAATTGATGGCACTAGTTTATTTCCCTCCCAAAAAACCAACCGCAACTAAATAAAGCAAACAATCTCCAATTTTTATTGTCTTCATAATAAAACAAAATATGAAGCTCAGAACTGGATCACTTGCCCTTTCTCTTTTTATCTCCTCCCAGTTCAAAATGCTTGCATCTCATAATAACCAGCATTCTCTTAAATCTGCAGTTAGGCTCAACGCATTCAAGCCACAGTACAATCTTGGTGTAGTTTTAGTCTTTTTCTGGAAAAATGGTTTAGCCATTCCATAGCGACTCCACTTCCTGCCGTAACACCTCTTTCCTTGGGCACGCAGAGAATCCTTGTCCTTTTTGTACTGTTACTTTGTGGTATTCGTGCTTGCCTACTTCTTAGAGAAGCCCAGTGGGTTTCAGGAACATTCTCCATGTCTGTGAGAGTGATCGCACAGAAAAAAGCAAATGTCCTGTTTTGGGTTTTTTTAAGATGCCTTGATTCAAAGGAGATTCAGGCTACTGCTTCTCAGTTTTCTCCCAGTTAGATGTCAGCAAACAATGCTTATGCCCAGAAATATCTCACTTAGATTCCAGGAAGAATTTAAGAGAAGAGATTCCTCAGACAGGCTTTCAATCTGACTGTAACTGTAAACTTCCAGAGACCAGATAGGAAGCAAGCTATCCTTTCCTTTTGGAAATTACAGCCCTGGAACAAGAAGAGGTAATCCATCACTCCTCCCCTCCCCCTCCCCCCTCATTTCTGGGAGTATCAGAGAGCGGTAACTGGTAGAGATGGTTCAAGAAGTTTGCTGACATTGAGCGTGTATACCCAGTGAGGGGAACTTGGTTGTCTTACTGTTTTCTGAAGACTTATTCTTTTACCATGGTGGAAAATCTCTAGTAATCACTCACTCACATCTGTGGAACAGGCTTTTCAGTGGTGGGCCTGAGAATAGTAATGCCGAGTGAATGGTATACATAGCCAGGGTGTTGATCAGTGGTAGTTGTATTTCTTTTACATTGATTAGGGTTTAAGGGATTGAGAGAAAAATAGGAAACTATGTGGGAAAATGTCTCAAGCCAGATTCATTTCTCCTATGTCCTCTAAAAAATCAATGAGATGTGTCTCTGCCACAGTTCTATCACTTTTATATTTTCTTTGTATAACAAGTTTTTAAAAATAAACAAATGACTTTTTGGAAAAGCTGAACTTGTCTGTAATTTTGATGCATTGCCTACATTTTTATTCGGTCTTGAAATGGTAGTTTTAAAAGAGAGGAAGGAAAGTGGGGGAGGAAGAAAGATGATGACTTATAGAAAGAGTAAGACAAGTTTTGATTGGGTTTAAATATTGGCCACAATTTATGTAAAATGTACATTTTTATATTAGCATCATTCAATTGGATATAACTGGAAATTATTGTAAATAATAAAAGTGAAAAATATTTAATATTAGAAGTACCAGTGTGTGTAGTATTGTAAAGAGCAGAGCACTGAAGCCAGGATAACTGGAATCTTGTCCTATTTTGACTTCTGTGTGTGTGACAGTATGTATCCTGGTCACCTTTCCACCCCTCTCCCACGCTGCCCCTGCCACAACCTCAACTGTTTTACTTTTTCTCATGTGAATAATGAGATTATGGAGTAGGTAATTACTAAGCTTCCTCTTAAGATTCTGGTTTTCCAGAATATGTCAGACTTTTCAGAAGGTTTGTGTCTTTTAATAAAATTGGTAAAAAATCATTTGGGCCAAAACATTTCAATATTTGCTGATGGTAGCTATACTTAAACAGCAGTGTTTTGCTCAGGAGTGCCGCACCTAAACAGAACAGCATAGATTTCCAATTGCAAGAACCTTGGATTCTTGCTTAGATTGGAAATCGCCCTTCCAGTACCCTTCATTGACAGCCATAACCATCTACTTTTAGCATTATGGGGGCATTGTCAGTGTATTGATTCATTTGCAGCTGAGTGGTGTATTTCTGTGGGTTTGAGAATAGTGAGGTGAATGGCTTTGAAATTCTCAATACTGTTTGGAAGGCTGATTGCATAAATTTGAAATTTAAAGTGTTTGAACAGATTCTTTTCCAAGTGATTTTTAACAAATGTTTGATCATACTGTGTTTGTGCTACAGCTGAAAGGCTGAAGTAGCATTTTGGCTCCTTTCCCAAAAGCATGCTTGAAGAGGCTAGCGGCGGCAGCAGTATCTCCCTCTGTCCTCCTCACTGCTTTTTACCTTGGAGTGGTGCAGCTTGTTCTGCGGATGTAACGAAACCCTCCCATTTAATCTGCAGTGGAGAAGAATGAAGCGCAATGCCCAGCAGCGTTCAGGGGTCTAGCAAGGTCGCAGTAACTAGCAGTGACTATGTATTTCATCAGCTGAACAAGAAGACGTTTTATAATATATTTTTTTTTCCTTTCAGCTGATAGATTTTTGCTTTCTGTTTCCTCCTAGAGAGATGTGGATAATTTGCCCTGCCTCCAACGCCTGTTTCTCAGCTTCAACAATATATCTACGTAAGTGGAAACTCCCAGCTTGTCATTTGTTAATAATTTGATTGTGTGGGTTCTAATGCTTTAAATTAAGATTGTAAATACTTTGGAGTATTTCTATTGACATGTAAGATTTTCAACTGGAAAATGATAGGGCCATCTGTGACAAAGTTCTTTGTGGGAAAACAAAGCTCTTGTGTTTATTAGTGCTTCTGATGCTAAAATGATGACTGGTATAGTATGTGCTCTTTATAATTATAGTTTAGAGTTGCTCCTTTGTCAAACACGTATGTGGAAATGTCAACATATATTCTGCTGTCCTTTGTTTGACACTTACTGCACTAATCAGTTGAATTAGAATTTCTTTCATAAATTATCATCTACAATCTGGGTAGCTACTGAGCAATTTTGATATAGCAGGTTATACTTGTCACTAAGCCACTTGCTAATTAGGCCATAACTTCTAACTTGGTACCCCTACTTGGAGAACGAATGCAGCTAAACACTGTACATTAGAATATATAAATGTATAAATGTTGTTTTGTAAAGATTTGAAACACATCATCCTTTCTGTGGTGATGATGTCTCATGCAGTGTCAGTGTGGAAGATTTCAGAACTGAAGCTGAGACAGGCAGTCAGACTTTTCAATGCAGAATGAGTAGCCACGCTTCCCTATCTCTCTCCTTCTCTTCCCTTGTCCCTCAGTCCTTCAGTTTCACGTCAAGACTGCTGTCTGAATGTACTTTTGTAGAAGGATAATAGCCAAGTATAAAAGTTGAGAGCGTATCTCTTCCTGAGGTCTAGGTCTGTGCTTCTGATGATTAAACGCCACTGGAGCTTTTGCACATTTTCTGTTTCTGCCTTTTCCTGTGTTAGTCCCCATCCCTGTGCGATATCTCTAGAAGGTAGAGGTTAAGTCTAGATGGTGAATTTTGCATATAGGCATTATTTCAAAGAAAACACCCTTAATCATTTTCTTTTTTTTTTCCTTTGTGTGGAAATGCAAAGTTTTCTGAAATACTTTTAATGTTCTCTTCAGTTTATGTTGAATCCTGTTCCAGCTGCCTTCCCATCTTGTTGAAAGAGTAGGGTTTATTTTCAATGGCAATGGAAGGAGCACTCAATTTTCTTTAAGGAGTTTCTACCTAAAGACCATAACAACTGTTTTGAGAAGATAGTGTCTCATTTTTAAAATACGTTGTTTCTCATATCTCACAATATTAGCTGTTGAAGGTGTGGCAAACCCTTAGATTCCCCCAACCCATGGTGGAACTTACTACTTTTGCTCTTGTCTTGTTTATGGGGAGTAATTTAAAAAGAGATATAAATTTGGGTGTATGGGGCTCATGACTACTTCCTCAGGATACCTCAACTTCTAAACTCCTAGCTCTGTAGGGAGTTGATCTTAAATGTCTGTATTTAGGGAAATTTCTTCCCAACCTGAAAAGGAGCTTTACCTACTCAATAAAATAAATATGTGATTAATGGGATTAATACTTATGACTTTCTATTAAAAGTGGGATTTACTGAGAAATTGAGATAGAAGGAAGGGGTTTTGTATTCTTACTGATTGCTTTTTTTGTGTTTCTGCAAAGGCTTAGTTCTTTACCTTTCTCTAATATTTCCAGATGACCTGCTTTTGAGGTCAAGTACATTTTCTATTTTCTGCTTTGTTCCTGTTGATGCATGTAATCCAGGAGATGGTATAGAGAATATATTGGATCTTGGGCAGGGGACAGGAGGAATTGAAAAGTGCAAGCCCTTTTCACATTTCCATGAGTTTTATTCAAGACACAAATAGTTCAGTTGACTGGATGGTAGATGATCTGTAGTGATAACTGTAGTGTCCTTTCATATCCTGCTATAGTCCTGGCATGACAGAGTTGCATAATTTTCAATTCAGTGGTCAAGGAGTAACATACAGGAAGAGTAGAAATAGCAGTATAAACGTGAAAGTACCTTTTAGGACTTTGGATAACTTTCAGATATCATCCAGCAAATGAAATATCCAACAGTGTATCCATTTTGGGGAGACAAAAATGTATTGACTGTTAATGTAGTAAGGTTTCCTAGATTTTGACCAAGTTGTTGGATTCTTAGGAACCCATTTTCATAAACTATTACCTGGTGGAAATTCAGAAAGTTCCAGAATGTGATAGCACCCTGCTGAATTCAGAGAGCTCCAACTTGGGGTAAATAGGTACCTATATATATTTAATGATGGGTTGACCATGGCCTTGGTAGACAAGACCATTTTTATGTGTTTTCCTGTAGATATTAGAGCAGGCATTTAGTTCTTCTAGTAAGCATACAAGATATATTAAGAGAATGAGTGACATATCCACATCTGTGTATCTGAATAGAAGTGATGCCTCCGGTTAAAATATCCCTCAGAGCATGAGGAAGACAGAAATGCAAATAGCTAATTATAATACAGTTAGTTAAACTTAGTTGTGGTCATATGCAGATATACTAGAAAATGTAAATCAGTGTAGAGAAGGGAAGTTAAGGAAAACTTCCTAGAGGGAGATGGTCCCTGGACTGAGCTCTAAGTGGAGGAGACCTCAGTAAAGTGAATAGTACTTGGACATTCCAGGTAAGGGTACAACCTAGGCAAAGTAGATGTAGAAGGCTCAGAGTGGACTCACTAGGTCCACCCTCTGGGAACTTGCAGTGAGATGCTTGCTCTCCTCTCCTACTAACTAGCCTCCAGGTCTTCCTCCAACCCACAGAGTGCTGGAGGGACCTGCCAAAGTACACTTTGTAATGATCACCTTGAAGGAAATATTCTGTGGCTAATCAAGAGAATCAGTTATATCTAGTTCATGCTTCAGCTGTGTTCGTTCCATTATTCAGCTCTTCCGAGGTGCTATTGTCTGCTTGATTTGTTTTCTTTTTCTTGGCTCTCATGATCTTAATTTCCAAGTAGTCTGCATTTTTTGTAATGGCTTATTCTTTTAAAAAAATTATTTATTTATTTGACTGCGTTAGGTCTTAGTTGTGGCACGTGGGATCTTCGTTGCCACATGCAGAATATTTTTAGTTGCAGCATGTGGGATCTGCTTCCCTCACCAGGGATCAAACTTTGGCCCCCTGCTCTGGGAGCACAGAGTCTCAGCCACTGGACCACCAGGGGAGTCCCTCTAACGGCTTCTTCTTGTTTGATGAATGAGATAAAGTTTCTTTTTTAATTTCTAGAATTTATTTTTCTCCATTACCTATAATTGTTCTTTAAACAAAAATACTTTCATTCATCCATTCATTTGTTCTCTGATTTTTTGTTCTTATTGATATATGAGGATCTACATGAATTTGTTTTCTTAGCATAATTTAGAAATATTGCTGTGAATGCAAGTTATAAGGTCTCTGTCTGTGGAGGATATAGGAGGGAGGAGGAAGGATATCCAACCAGTTGGACTTTCCTTTATGATGTTCACAAGAAACGTGCTTTCTGGGAGTGGGAGCTCCTTTTACATCTTGGACCAGATGCATTTACCCAAAGCACAGCCCTTCTTCTCTCACCATTTTCAACCTGAGAACAATTCAGGAGTCAGCCTTTTTGAGGGTAGGAGGCTAGCAACTTGTTACCAAACCCTCCAGTAGTTACTGGACAGCTGACCCACATCTGCTGGCCACACTTTCTCCCTCTGATTCTGGGGAGTATTCTGAGGTTCTGCTGGTAACATTTAAATAACAATGATACTCTTTATTTCAGGCTCTTTAGCAATTTGGGGTTTTACTGATTCCATCTGCTTTATGTCTTCCAGAAATTCCTTAGTGTTCTGGTCGGCTTATGGAACTTTTTCTGGTTTTCTAGTATTGCTAAGGATATTTTCATACTTTTATATTCAATCATTTCAGAGAGATTTTGAGAGGGTAGAGAGAGGTAAGATCACATACTCGAGTGGCCATTCTCATAGCTGTCCTTACTTTGAGTGATTTTCCCCCAAAAGGCTACCCATAAAAATATCCTTGGCAGTTTTAAAAACACATAGGCCTTAAGTTCACTGCTGGGTAACCTGCTCCACTAAATCTGGAGTGGGGCCAAGGGTCTGTATTTTTTTAAGGCTTCTCAGAGAATTCTGATGTTTGGCTTGATGCTAGATCTGGGAACCATTGAGTTATGGCACCCCCAAATAAGAATATTTGTTAACTAGCAGATTAGTATTTTATATAAAATTTCCCTTCACAAGAAAAAGCTTTTAGACAAAAATATTTGGCAGGGATTAATATGTACTACCATCCAGAGGTAGTTTATGATCTGTAGGCAAAACCCAGGGTGTTTCATCTCCTTTCCACTGAGGCTGTGCAGAGGTCTGCTCTTCATTACAAGGTTAAGTTATAATTGATTCTTTCCTGTCTCTTTTTTTCATTCTCCAGTGTAGAAAGTTTTAACAAGCTTTTTGCTTAAAGAAAAAAAAAGACACATTTATAATTTGAGTGCTTTTCTTGCCTAAAAGGGAATGGTTACTACTGCTTCCAGAAATAAGGAGACATTAGTATCCCTGGGAAAAGAGTCAAATACTAGTCAAGGTCAAGTGTCAACTCAGGACTCTTAGTCTCATGTATTATTTTTTTAATTGTGGTAAAATACTCATAAAAGTACCATCTTAACCATATTAAAGCACACAATGAAGTGGTGTTAATAAATACATTTACATCCTTGTGCAGTCAGTCTTCTGTCACACAGAACTCTTTTCATCTGGCAAAACTGAAACATTATACCCATTAAACAACAGTTCTCCCTCCCCTAGGCCCTGGCAACCACCATTCTACTTTCGGTCTCTGAAATTTTGACTACTCTAGTTATGTCATGTATGTGGAATCATGGGATATTTGTCTTTTTGTGATTGGCTCATGTCACTTTGTACAATGTCCTCAAAGTTCATCCATGTTATTGTTGTTCAGTCTCTTAAGTCGTGTCTGACTCTTTGTGACCCCATGGACTGCAGCACGCCAGACTTCCCTGTACTTCACTATCTCCTAGAGTTTGTTCAAATTCATGTCCATTGAGTCGGTGATG